CCGAATAATAAGCGAGAGGGTTAGTAGAGCGTTTCCAAAGACAGGGAGAACTTCGCCAACGCGGCTGTACCCGGTCCTGGCATTCTTGAATCCGACAATTTTCGCTATAATATTATAACCTTAATTCTAACCAATTTTACCCGAAATTAACTAGGCTATGATGCCAAGACCTAAACCTAAATCATCGTTGGAAATCGAGAACACTGCTCAATATGCCGAGAACTGCTGGACATGCTCGGGTTATCGTTTCGCCTGTTCGGGTAGAGCTTTCAGATATAAGCCCCGGGTTAACGCATCCATGGGAATCATCTACCCGTCGAGAGTAGTACGGGTGAGTCCAAGAGACGTAGTAGAGGCTACGAGCCGCGGGAGTCTTTATGAAGCGTGCCTTTCTTTTTGTTAGCATGAGCGTATGTGGGGAAAAGGGAAACTTGGCCGGAAGAGCATGGGCGAAAATGAACATGCGCAATGACCGGTGGAAGGATAGGAGAAGGCTTTTGTCGCGATTCATGTATATATACTGGTACAGTACTCCTGTGTTTGGGTGATACGCTGGCAATCAGAATTTTCCGTCGCCTTACTAATCCTCGTTTCGTTTCGCCGTTTCGCCGTTTGATGGTAAAAATCACAGAGACAGCCTTACCCGACAAGCTTTAATTTACAGTGCGAGATAGGATTTTTCCGGGACCGTAGCACACCTTAGAGCCATAATTCGCGCCACGGTATCAGCGAGATAGGATACAAGTGCAAGAAGGTAAATTTACTCGTACTCAAGTAGGGTCTCTCTCATACTGGAAGGACGGCAACCCAACCACCGAACCGCCACGTGTAGTTCTTTGGCAATCAATAATCATGGCTGCTGGCTGGTCCAAGTGTCGGTCTGAACAAACGAGGGGTGGTAGGGTCACAATTCGGGTCACAGAAATAGCCATTTGCACCACCACCACCACCTCTTAATCGATTAAAACGAAAAATATATCAATAGATAGCTAAATATCTAACGGATTGGACCGGGAAGCTGATCAGACGCGGAAGTGAATCACAAATTTCCCCAAAACCAAACATCCGAATTTAGCCCAAAGAAGGTCAAATCTAGAATAACTTTCTATCTGGGATACCTCCTCCACTGTAGCATTTTGTCTGCCTAGTGTTAGGCGATAATTGAGAATTTGTATGAGCTCTCATATGATACAAAAGGATAAGTTACCTGATTCTGGAATCGCCACTTTCACATCGACCGAGTTCAGGTAATATTGCACCATACAAGTATCATACTCGTACACTTCAAAGATTAAAAAAAAAAAAAAAAAGGTCTTACAAAACCCAATGGCACTATTTCGTGGAGAATTGCCTCGCTTCAACAATTGGTGGTTGAGTGCTATCCACGGTGAGGTTTGTCACCCCACTTTGTTGGAATCGCCAACCCCCCCCCAGCCTCCCATTAATTACTACCGTTGCCAGATATTTTGTGCGTGGACAAAATTAACCGAAATTCAACAGAGGAAAATCTTCGGCGATGACAACCACACTCACCCACCAATCCACTATCATGAAAACAAAAAAAAAAAAAAAAAAATTAAAAGATGTAAATACATAGTAGAAATTAATATTTGGTATACCATCCATCAGCCTTAATACTTGCCTCTATTCTATCCACCATTGATCCAGCTAAAGTATCAAAAACCTTTGGGTCAAGAAGTTTCCAACAATTAGTGATGGCCTCTACTATTGCCTTCTTGACCACATTGACATCACCCTTCATAAGATATAGCTCAGGGTAGTGCTTGTGAAGCTTACCTTTCACAAGAGACCAAATATTTTCAATTGGATTGAGATCTGGTGAATAAGCAGGAATTTCCATCAGTGTAATTCCCTGCCCTCTGAGCTATCTCCTAAAAGGCAAGTGAGTCTTAGCATTGTCAATGATAAAAAATACCTCTTCTTCTCCAGACTTTTCTCTGATATTCTCCCATATCTCTTGAAAGTCATAATGATCATAAACATCAATAATTGACTTCCCAGTAACTCCACCCCTAGCAGAAGAAGGATCAGGAAAAACAGGCAAAAAAAGACCATGAGTTTGACTATAAAAACAACCAGTCATCATCTGGCTAATCCCTCTCTCCCCTCTCCTAGCCTTAGGTTCAACACAATTCTTATTTTATTTCTCATATGGGTATCTGAAAACCTATTTTCTCCTCTTTCCTCCTCCCCTTTCCACAGCTACCTCATCCCCCCACATTGCCTTCCTTCTCCACATCTCCTTTGTCCAATGCCTATGAGCTAATGCCCATTCCAACCTCTCTTGAGCTAGATCCTCATCCAAATGAACTCTCTCTTGTGCCATCCACTTTCTAAGATGCTTTTTTTCAAGTCTTCTCCTTACTGTCCTACTAGAAACATTGGGAGCAACTTGCTCAGCAATGTCAGAATAGGTAGTATGGCGATTTTTAAGAGCTTCCTCCACCATAGCATCATCCTGTGACTTGGTAGTTTTAGGATGTCTTCCTCTACCATTATTCTCCTTGCCCTCTTGATGTTCCTTTGCAATTGTGTCTCTGACAGTAGTGTAGGGGATATTAAGGTAGTGGGAAATTTGCTAATATCTCATCTGAGGCTCGTGTAACCCGAGAATCCTCCCCCTGGTAAACTCAGAGAGATGTGTGGAGGGAATAGGTTTTTTGGCATGACTGCGAAGAATAGGAGGCATAGTTTATTGAAAAAAAGAATTGAGCAGAATGGTTTCTTCTTGGTTGACTTAGAGCAATTTTTTTAGGTACTGTTGAGAGTGCGGGGTGATGAAGAGGGGTGGGTTGCCACCGATTGTTGAATCGCGGTTAATTTTGTCAACGCACAATCACTACGCCTACTCGATCAAACCCACGCGAAGTAGCAAAAAGCGAATCATTCCCCCCCATGCCCTGCACACCTCCGAAGGAAGGAAAAGGAGCAAGAAGTGAGGGAAAGAATTCTATCCCCTAGTCACTACGTGGAAACGGCACACCCTATCACACAGGTCTAGGCAGTGCTCTAGACAATCATACCAATATACTTGTACAAAATGTCGCCGAGCCCCTCCGGGCTATGGTGGCTAGAAGCGGCGTGCTGAGAACGGGCGCTCAAATCGGGTCTGATACACAGATCCTGGTGGGGTTAATTCCTCTCGACGGCCAGATCATATACGGTACCGCACCCGATTATCCGAAGCTTGTTTTCACGCCCAGAGGTCACAACAGCGCGATAAATTTAATTCAGGAACTCCTTTGAGTAGTGAGCACTACAGCCTTCATGGGTAGGATCTTCGCGGGTTTCGCCAGATTTCTGCGGGAGTTAAGTATTTTGATCTCGCCCGGGATGCCTCCTGAGATAGTATCCGTTCTATCCCAAAGCAAGGTACTGTACTATACCAGTTTTACTCGTACATATGCGGGGCGAAAACTGATTGGTGGTGTAGTGATTCGTCCCGCGTACCGAGGCAGGACTTGGGGTTTGATGCATGCAGGACAAGTGTCAGGGGTTGGTGGGTGCATTGCCTTGAGGCTCTGTATCAAAAATCCACAAACTACCGTATCATACGGCATTGGTTGAGAACAACGTGAGGAAAATTCCCCAACCAATACCATCAACATCCTTCGAGTCACACCCTTCTTGTTTGCTCTTATCAGGCGGGTCATCTTATATCCACTCTTTTTCCCTTTTTGACAAATCGCTTGCACCCACCCCCACCCACTTCTGATACTGGTATATCGGAAAATATTATGCCACGGGGACCAGTCACTGCCTACGCAAATCTACAAGTAACAAGCGAGAATTCTACAAACATGAGACAACGTTTATTTGTCTGTTAGCCATATATTAAAAATGTCTGATGTTCGGATACTCGCACTTCTCGCCTGTAACCTGTAAGACCATCTCTAATAAGATCGGTTAAAATGCCAAGAAACCTTAATGGTCTTGGCATGGGTGATATGCAATCTCATGAGCGAGAACACTGCCCATGGGTAGTAAGTTTTGGTCTTGTAATGCCATGAAAATAGGTCAGGGAAGAAGGAAAAAGAAAATAATTCTATGATATTATCAATACTGTTTTGTAGTCATACCATACCCCAACCTTCTTCATAATTTCCAATGCTATATATATCAACTAAAATTTATATTCCACACTTTTAACAACTCTCATCCCATCATACCAGGACTCAAAGAAGAGGAATAAATATTACTTCAAATCCTCACGACAAGGCCAATATATACCATATCATGCATCATACTTTGCTCACCCTGCCCAGCTCCCTAGCCCTAACTACCACAACAACCCCCGGATCATCATCTATCACTCGACCGCCTAGACACTTGGCCAGAGTGCTGGTTCTGATTGTCGGGCGCTATACAATTACCCTACCGTGCTGCGAATATTCTCCGGAGGCGAGGAATAAATAAGAGAGCAGCCGTCGATCGATTGATCGTTTCTTGAGAGGAAGAAAGGAGAGAAGAGAGGGAAAGGATAAGGGAAAAAAAAAAGAATTGAAAGAGGGATATAAACATGATCAGCAAGAACCGGAAGCAATTACAGCAGAGTAATAACTTATTTCAAGGTATTTTTGTGTTGGACGGGCAAAAAAAAAAAACATTTCTCTAACAAAAACATTCCAAGCTCTACTCGCACTCGAGTGTGGTACTACACGGCAGAGGATCTCTATCCCCAATGATGCCCACCAAGCGCTGCCCACCTAGTAGGGTGCCTATTTGACTGAATACGGTAAAATAGAAAACCATCAAACGAACGTTGATTCCGCGCCCCATATGATGCGACGGGATGATATGGTTTTTCAGCCGCACGGTAAGTCCCGCCCGGGTCAGCGAGTAGTAGCGAGTGAGTGAGTATGATGGAGGATTCCAGAGCAGGGATGTGGAGATATAACGTTACTTAGGCCGGGAGCCCTACGGCTTTTGTGAGCAAACCAGAGGCCACAGAGCAAGATACTTAGTGCTAGCTAACAAGATCATAACCAAATTTCTTTTTCTCTTTTTTGTTTAAAAAAAAACCCCCCGCTGCGCCACCTCTACAAGAGCACGGGCTTAGTATACACACTATGTAAGTGGGTCAAATCAGACTTAGGAATAGAGGCAGAAAAGAAAAAAGCGTTTATAGACCAATCATGCAATGCGTGGCGCAAGGGACCATTGGGAACTGAAAGGGGAGGGGGAAAAAGGAAGAAACACACCCAAAAACAAGCTAAACTAAAGAAAATGCGAGGGCGAAAATAGTAAAGGCAAAATGGACAGTCCGAAGGTCAAAGAGTAGAGAGATGCGGCGATATATGGGGTATCATACTAAAGATGTGTGCCCAACCCCAACCAAAGCGGAAGGAAAGGAAAAAAAACAAGCCCTTTTCTCTACCCAGCTAACCTTTTTCATAAGGAAAAAAAAAAAAACACGTCTACCCCTCATCCCTCCACCTCCCACCCTCCAATCTATTGAAACCCCATAACCATCCTCACCCTAACCCCCACAATCCTCTCCATAATCACTTCCCACCCCTCCCTATGGGCAGCGCGTACATGAACCCTCATGTTATCCTCCCTAGCCGTCGTGTGCCCGCAGACATCGCAAATTAGGTGCTGGTCGCTGTGCTTCGACACCTCGTGACGGTTGCGGTCTTTTCTCGTAGTGTAGCTAGTGCACGAAGCACAGTCTTTGTGACGGCAGCAAAAGCGATGTTTGGAGTCTTTGTAGTGGTGGTGATGGGTTGCTTCGGGGTTTTGGGTGGTTGCAGTGGAGTGGCAGTGAGCGGAAGTGCAGGGGGAGGTTTTCTTGGGGCGGGGTTTGGGGCGGGGTTTGGGGCTGGATGTTGCAGCAGTGGAAGGAGTGGTGGTGGTAGCGGGTGTGGGTGTGGGTGTGCAGTGGGCTGTTGATGGTGGGGGCAGCACAGCGGGGGCGGGGGAGGTGGTGGTTGAAGGGGGGAGAGAGAGGGGTGTAGGTGGGAGGATGTAGTGCTGTGCCGGACTTCGGGGAGAATTTCCCGGCGTGGCGTTAGGGGGCGTGTGTTGAATGGGCGCAACTAGGACTCGAGGGGTTGATTCAGTAGCAGTAGCAAGCAAATCGTTTACGGCGTGAGTAGTGGCCAGGTCAAAGTTGGATAGGTCGAAAGGGTCTTTCCAGGGTGGTAGGTCCGTAGTCTTTATACCGAGGAAGTGAGATTCCGAGAATTCGAGGGAGAGGTCTGGGTGGGGCTGCGCGTCGGCGCTGGAGGCGCCGCCCGCTTTGGGTGTTGGGGGAGGGGATAGTTCTTGGGGATGGGGCTGCTGTTGTTGGTGTAAACGGCCATCGCGGGGAGTCGTTTCCCGGGAGTTTAAGGAGTTAGGTACCTCGCTAAGGTAACAATCTTTGTTAATAAAAGTGTCGAAGATATCGATGAAAGACGGGGGGCCCTGAACGGAACCCATGACTGTTTGGGAGAATGCTGGAGAGAGGGTAACGCTTTTGCGATTTCTAGAGGAGCGCGGGGTATCTGGTGGGTAAGATTGTTGCCAATCGCTGTGTCCTCGTTATGAGGCGGTGGAGTTGAGAAATGTGTAGGTTTGCTTGCGACTATACGGTCGCCAATATAGGAGGAAGCGGTGTTTGGGTTTTTTTTTCTGGTATCCTGAAGTGTGATGGAATCTAAAACAAGATTAGCACCCCGACCCGTGGTTTTGCTCCGGATAACAATACCAGTATTGGTGTTTTTAATGGTTAGTTTGGAAGAATCGTAATCGTGAATGTGCACATGTATCCTAAGCCTTGATTAGAATATTTCCTATAAGGTATCGCAGGTGATACACTTACTTATGGTGTAGCTTGTATATAGGGGGATTAGCAAGCTGAGGAAAACAAATTCCAGAGACAAACAGATCCTCATAGACACTATGGCTGGCCATTGCGCTGCTCGCACGCAATGTTCCCCTCATCTGTCCGCGAAACCATGATAGAGGAAGTTCCAAGTTCCTCAGGAGTGAGAACAAGCCCAAACCTAACCATCCCTGGATACCGGACATCACATCAAATCTTATAATCATACTTGCCGTGTTAGCCAGGGTGGCGACAGCTAGTGCGTTCATAAGTCCTGAATCGGTGAAAATGGTACCACTACAGATGCGTGAGGCTTGCACGTATTCGAGAAGTCGACCAGCAAAGGGAGGGAGTCCTAGTAATCAACCAATTAGCAACACGCAGATAAAGAGCAATTGGATGTGTAGCTTACGAATCCTATTTAGACTATCCACCAGCCTCGAATCCGAGGGGTACTTGAGTAGGATGCGGCGAATCGCCTCAGTACTGTGTCGGTTGAGTATTTTCATGTTGGCGGTACGAGCTTTGTCGAGATCACAGATCTACCGGAAAATTAGTGCTCCAGCTTAACCACAGAGAGACTATGGTTCAACTTACCTCTTCCGAGATAAAAAGTATTGCTGGTCTAAATATCCGGAACAAGGCCGGTATAATGCCAATGGCGACCAAAAGATAAATTATGAAATACATCAATAGCACGAACTTCATGCCGCCGAACAGGAGATTAAACGCAGATACCTCGGTAAATTCCGGTCCGGTCGGCTGTGCACCCTGCTCTGTGAACGCCCGACCGGGGTGGACCACGGGGGGAAGCCGTGCTCCCGGCGGGTCGCCGATCCAGTACAACCCGGAATTAGGACCCGGATCGCACATTGTGTTCCGAACCTCTAACAGTTTCTGGGCATGAAGATGGGTGGTCAGTAGAACTGCCAACCGATTCCACGGCAGGGGAATAATGTGTCCTCTTGTGTACGAGTAGGGGGAGGGGATGAGGCAACAACGGGCCTTAAGCGATGGGTGAGGACGAGACTTCGGTATCTCTGCAAACTTGCGAGGAGTATGGATTAAGAGAGCTGTAGTTTCTCAAGCCGAGTGAACAAGATTGGTGCAGGGCAGCAGGGAGGGCGCTATTTATCTTGCCTTGGATGGAAACAGGTGTGGGAGGGGCCTAAAGGAAAGGCTTGGCATGCACTGGGCCTGACAGGGATGTGAGCAGCTGGGAGGGGGGAAACTTTTCTTTTTGTGCGATGAAGCTCAGCCTCGCCAGAACTTTTTTTTTATTTTTTTATTTTTATTTTTGCGTGGAGCGTCATTTCGGGATGAGAGTTTTTGGATCATGGTACTCGAGTACCGGTACCAGTGGAGCCGGTTCACGGTGCGAGAGAATTCGCTTGGAAAGGGGTATCATATCGTGCTGCACACGTAAAGATCCGTCAAGCACGATACCGGTACCCGAGTACAACACAGTCCTGGACCGTGCTGCACATTACGAGCACAGCATCGTGCTTGTGAGGGATACCGGTATTATCGCTCCGCCAGACCCGTTGAATCGTTCCTGGAAAATCCAAGTTAATTCGGGTAGGGCAACGCACCCCATACGAGTACTTTACCGAATGCAGCACTTCCATATCGTTTTCCTTGCTGCTGCTATCAAATGATAGCGTAGCCCATCCATCCATCCGCATACTGGACCTGCATCATAGTCTACCCCTCATCCTCCGCCACAACCACTCGAAAGGTAACCCCAGGCCAAGCCAAGAGCCAAGTCAATATACCGCAAGTATCATAGTACGGTACTCGAGTATTGTACTGTACGGTATCATACTGTATCATACCGGTACTGGTACTATACTCGAGTAATGCTCAATAAACCCACCTCCGCCCTGGTGTGACCAGTGGGAGCGCACCGCCCCAACCCTCAGCGAAATGATAGGTTTGTTGTCCCCAAAAGGGAAGAAGAAAAAAGGTGACACGGCTGATCCCTCGAAATATTGGTGCGACACATACCAAGGCACATTCCCGCCAACTTTTGCGCACAAGACGATTTGTGGCCACCATCCTTGTTGGTTGTGTTCGCTAAATGCACAACCGCACGCGACAACAGAGACGCGAGGTCACGTGCTAGCGCTTACTAACAGTAGCAAGCGGTTAACAAAGTTTGCACCCAGCCCCATCTTTACACTAATAAATCCAGTTGAAATCAGTATCATTTCCAGCCAGTCTCACGTGAGTAGTAAGGACGCGTGGGGAATTGCCCTGGTGAGATGATCGCCGGTGCTTCTCGAAATGGAGTCCGTTCAGGAGTAACAACTTGGTGAGGTGTTCCAATGGATCAATTCTCGAGAGGCGCATAACTTGCCATCAACATTCTTTTAACAACCGAAAAAAAAAAAAACAATAAAAAACAATAAAATCCCACCATGCGATATCACACGGAATTAATCGAGAAGGGAGAAGATGGAATGAATGCGCGTTGTTGGATAAATTTTGGGTATGATACTTGTAGTAATGATCCTAGCAAAAACCCCCTCAGGACCCCCAGGGGGTAGGAAAATAAATTTCTTGGCCAAAACTTTCATCGCTCGAAACCGCCCGACATATTGGAGAGGGTTTGCGAGCCAAGGTTTGCCGGAGCTTCCGGGTATCGACGAAAAAATATCTCCTAAATTCCAGTATCTCGGGTGGCCCGTTAATGGCTCCAGGCACAGGAAGAAGTCTTGTCTGTGATACTACCGCTAACTTCCAGAAATCCCACTGGTACTAGTACACTCCACCATCCTCCGCTGTAGCGACACTACACTGCCGAACTTCTCTGCCCGTATACCGGTGTGGAGAATTGCTTGATTTGGAGGTGCCTTTCATGTATTTGATGGGGAGGAGGCTCTGGATATTTTTCATGTGTAAGAGGGGGCTTGGCGTGCAGGATTTTCTTCTTATAGCTTTCTTTTTTTCCTCTTAGCAACAACGAGAACACACACACACCCACCACCGGGAAATAGAACTTTTCATCTCTACCGAACTGAGCCTACATTTCTTTCTTTGATTCCTCTGCGTTGTTTGTGAAATTGATCACTGCTCACCAGTCCCGATTATCAGGCAATTACTTTCTGGTATATTGTGAAGGTAAAGTGAGTTAGCGGGTAGGGCACAGTGCGTAGTCAAACCACCATCCAGGAAAAGGGAAAGAAACCCCCCCCCCTGACACCGGTAATCTCAGAAATTCGTGTTGGGCCTTAAGCGAACCACCCTATGATACACAACGACGCGAAGCCAAGGCAACCGAGCCAAGGATACCACCAGCTACTTGACGATTCATAAAAGTATTCGGATGCCTTGGCGCCAAAATATACCGACCAGCACTTAACCATGGAGTCTTGGCGCTAAGGTATCCGAACACTCTATGGATTGCCAAGTAGCCACAGTGGAAACAAAGAGAGGCGGACCACAGTACAGGCCTAGTAAAGAAGAAAAAAATTCCAAAGTTGGTGTCAATCCGACTTCCATGTAATTATACAGGTGTGTCCGGGTAAATACCGCGGTAGTTGGCGACAACAATTCCATTCCAGTAGTGATTGCGCCATCATTGGCTGTTTAGCAGCCAACCACACCATAGCACGGCTTCAGACACACCCGCCCGGGAGCCTAGAGTTAGGGAGGCTGTCGTTGCACCCCGGTGAGCCGGTACAGTGGGGGTCATCAGATTTTCCTCCAGTGCATTTTCAGCCCCTCACTGCAAGGGATGTTGCTTCCGCCGGACCCGATCAGTCAGCAAAATCTGGAGTCTTGGTTTGGCTCGACTGCTTGCTGCCAATCCTTGCCAAGTGTAAAGAGGTTGGCCACTTCCACTGACCCCTGCAATAGTAGGCGTTACAAGAATTTTTAATTGGTTGGGAGATTTGGGATAACGGTCATAGAATATCACTCGACAATGTTCTTGGTGTTGGTCGTTGTCCCGCGTTCATTATCCCTGTTATCCCTGTCCTTTGTTCCATTTTCATGATATCATGACTCGGGACTCCCCGTGAAACCTTGAATTTGCTTGCAAAGCTTGAACCCTGCGACATTGCGCCACTGGGGGCTTGAAGGAAAAAAATAAATATGGTGGCAGTGTATCATAGTCACATGATTTCTTGTTAGCCTGCCACTGCTGGGAGTTTAAAAGTTAATAAGGTATGATACCGGTAGACTGCAGTCTTGATTATTTCGTCTCAGCACCACCCACCTTTATATCGAGTTTGTAGAAACGCCAGTTGCGCAGGATCGGTCGCGGAAGGAATTACGGCAACTTCGAGGTGGGGTTTGACCGAATTGACAGTTGTCCATTGTGCTGTACCTCGGAAGCTCCACGAAGGAAGAAAAGACCTTTTGTTTCCGGTATGTCATTGGTGTTTTTTTTCCTGTTCTGTAAGGTCTGGTAACTTTTTTTCGTTTCATGGGCTCGGCAACTCAGCATTCGCTACTGGTAGTCTATGCCTCCCTTCCCCTTTCCCGAGAAGTAAATTAACCGCGAGACAGCCTGGTAAAAAGTGGCGAGAGGTGAGATATATCATAGGGGGAAGATATGATTGATACCTTTCTTCTTGAGCTCTCCATGAAAATGTCCGGGGCGGACAAA